GATAAAGTGGACAATTTCCATCATTTGGTCATGATATATGGCTGCCGCATTCGAAAATGATCTCATACGGAATAAGGCACCCCTGATTCGAACACAATGTTCAAGCGGCCCTATTATTTCGATTTTGGCCGAAATAGACAATTTTCATCCATGACATTTGTTCTCTCTACTTTACGTGTTTTTTAGAAATCATCTTGCAGAAAACGGCACCCAATTCGAACACAGCTTCAATCGACCCTGTTAGAAAGTTTTGGCCACAAAGGACAATTTCCACAATTTGGGTCTCTTTACATTTGAAAATAATCTCGTAGACACTACCGCGTGCATTTCACACACAAGTGGAAGCGGCCATATTATAAAGCTTTTGGCCACAAAAGAGAATTTCTGACATTTTGTCTCGATGTATGGCACTTGGAAATCATCCACAAGATATAAGGCACCCAATTCGAAAACAAGTTCATGCAGTCCTTTTATGACGCTTTTGGCCAGAAAAGAGAATTTTTATCATTTGGTCTCGAAAAATGGCACTTGGAAATCATCCTATATAATACGGCAACGAATTTGTACACAAATTTAACCGGCCCTCTCATTGGGCTTTTGGCCACACTGGACAATTTTCATCATTTGATCTTTTTACTGTATTTGACATTTTGGGAATTATCATATGGGATAAGAAACTCTTAATATTGGTTACAGCATACAAAACATCGAAAAAAATCAACAGAATGCTTATTGAAGAATGTTCATGAAATGCAGTACCATATATGAAGTTATGGATGCACTTGCGATTTTTAAGGGAACTAGAGAACGCACCACTAAAAGAATAAACCAATTCCTTTGTAACATATGGATTTGGAACGTTTGGCTATCTTACTAAGCATTTTTATTTCCAAGCCTCGATGAATGTCTTAAAACTCGATGACCCTGTTGCACCACATTTTGTAATACGTTACACACCGATAGAATCGTTGGGAAGTCTTACGCTATCGTTATTTAATATAAACGAATGTACCCGAAAAAAGTTTACACAATTCAAAACGAAAAACCCTAATGAGAGATCACCGCCCTCCTTTCCGAGAAATAACGATTTATATCCAAGGGGCACGAGGAAAAAGCTGTAATTTCTAATGGGCACCAGAAAATTGACAAGGAGTACAATTATGCGCAGTAAAGACGCACAATACCACACTAGGTAATGACCTTTATTTAAAGCAAACATCGCGAACATAAAATAAATACGAAGTACTGTTATAAAATCGAACCAAGGCCAAGGAGGGCAAACAAGCAGCCAAAGTATTTTTTTATGGAACCAAAGGGCTTTTGACTTTTTTTTTTTTTAACTATTCTAGACCATTTATGCACAAGAATGTAGCTTATTAAGGTTGTATTAAATACAGGAAATGTATGGATTTCATTGGCAACTCTATGCCAATCTACGTAAAAAGTCTTTAGTAAAGCTAAGAACCTTGTTTCATACACATCGTCGTATCACGAAGTTTAACAGTTCTGAAATAATAACTATTCCTGTGTATTTGGGAGAAATCTCACCCCTCAACTCTTTGATATTACCCTCTCCCCAAAAACAATGTTGGATTTGCTATCTGCAAGAGGTGCTTCGTTTCTGCACAACATTGAAAACGGGAACGGGGGAGGGGGGTGGGGGGGTTTGGCTCAAAATCTACACGGGAGTTGAAGTGCAAAAATGAAAATATTGAAGTTGACACTCGTTTCACCAAACTGTCTGAAATGCTTTTGTCGCCCCTGGTACACTTAGAATGATATATTGACAAAATTTCCAAAGGTCTCACTGTCAATCCCAAGAAACTCTTTAACTACCCCCACGAAATCGTCTACGTAGAGTGGTTTGCCTAACGCAATGATGGCACCGTGATGTCCATGTACATGACTGTCCACAAAGATTAAAAATTCATTTCGGGCACCAACGAACAACACTGTCTTTTCATTAACAATGAAAAGCGCATAACTGACAGTGCTGACGTTGCAAAGTTCAAAAAGGTGATGCTTCAGTGTTGACTGTCCATGGACATCGCACACTCTGACAGGCAGTGGTTCCGAAATGGAGACATTCAAGCAATCACCAGCTACCATAGCAGCTTCTGCAGCGGACAAATATCTCTGAGGCAGACTGGCACGCGAATGGTCATACAGAGCGTTCCCAACCTTGATGCATCCACATATCAATGACACCCAATCCTTAGGAAGAAACTGAAAGGGTTTGAGATCACAGCGGACTTGGTGAATTCCTTGAGCAATCAGCAAAGCGATGACACTGCATGCATTGCTGCCATTCCTTCCGTCAATTGTCGATTGGCTGATGTGCAAAGGAAATTGCCAAGTCCAGACAGTGCCCTCTGCACCCCAAGAATGAATGGGAATGATGATCTGACTATGATCATC